TAACAAAAACAAAAATTAGATGGAACGTGTCTATTAGTCGTTGTAAAAAGACTTCTTTTGTAATTGAAAAAAAACTTTATTAGACATGCGTTACTTAAAAATTTTAAGAAGTTTTAGCGCTTGCGTGATTTAACTGATTTTTTTTAATTTAATAAAGCATTCTGGATATTTTTTGGACGAAAAAATTATTGGACGCAAAAAAGAAGTTCAAATGACGTTTAAAATTTTATGGGACAGACGGACGCGATTTGAACGTCCTAAGGACGTCTTTTTTACGTCCTGTGCCCACTGGGAACATTAATGAAAAAACTGTTAAATTCTTCAGCTATTAGTGCTTTATCATAAATTGATTCATCGTCAATTAAAAGTTTTTTTGGCTGAGCCAAAATTTTTAAATTTGTTTTGTCTAATTATTTCTTTAATAGCATTCCAAGTTTGTTGAGTAGTTCCATTTGCTTTTTCTAGCAATTTCAAATAAAATAATTTTTTAGAGTGTTTTTTGATTTTTTCAAATACATTTGTATAGTTTTTTTCATTTGTATAGTTACATTTGTATAGATTTTTCATAAAGTTTTTGTTTTTTTCTTGACGATTTTAGTAAACCTTTTGTTATCCAAGGCGATAGAAGTGATTTTGAGTTTATATAAAACTTTTTTACAGGGAACGCTTTATTGTATTGTTTACAAAATTGCGCTAAAAAAAGTTCATAAGCATTGTTAGGATCACGTGATTGGAGAACAAGCTCCCAATTAATGAAGTTAATTAGAAGGTTGCGAAATTGTTGTATGGAGTTTTTATTAATCTGTCGCTTAAAAATAATATGTTTTATGGGAATATTATCAGGGGTTATGCTTTTTGTTATAAGAAATGTGAGGAAATGGTCTGTCAACTCAGTCTTTATTATACCAGTACTAAAGCAGCTATTAGAAAAATTATTAGTAATTATGTTATCCAGTAGGGTAGAGAAACAAGCAGTAGGGTAGAGAAACAAGCAGTAGGGTAGAGAAACAAGCAGTAGGGTAGAGAAACAAACAGTAGGGTAAAGAAACAAGCAGTAGGGTAGAGAAACAAGCAGTAGGGTAGAGAAACAAGCAGTAGAGTAGAGTTGTTGTGATTCTTGATGGTTTTGTTATTGCTGGAATAAAATTATTTTGTAAAAATCTACAAAACATTTAACACTGTTATTTGACGCATTGTTCAAAAGATTAATATTCAGGTCACCGACCAAGTGTAAACATGCTTTTGTTTTTTATTAACTTTTGTTAAAAAATTACGTAGGCAAGCTTTAAAATTTTTTAAATTACCCGCTGGTTCTCTATAAATAACATTAACAATTATGTTTTTAGAATTTTGGTTAACTATTTCAATGCACAATGACTCGTAATCTTTTTCGTTCACACTGAGGTCATTACGTGGTATAAAATTAACGGAGTTATGAAAAAAAATGGATACACCTCCACCGGCACGGAAATTTCGTGGTTGATAAATTGACGCGTAATTCGTCAATTCAAATTGTAAATTATGTTCGTCATATTTACACCACGTCTCAGTAAGACAGATTATTTTAAAATTGTGATTTAATACGTGCATTAGAAGTTTAAAATCTTCAAAATTTTTTTTTAGGCTTCGAATATTAATTATAAAAATAAAGTTTGAAAATGTGCTTTTATTTTGTTGAAGATAAAAATTAGATTCAGAAATTGAATAGTATTTGCTTTCTAATGATTTTTGGTTAAAATAATTAGTGACGTCATTATCACAAATTGTGACATTTTCACCACAAAGTTTAATTAATAAATTATCATCCATTTTAAAATATAAAAATTAAGATTAGGGAAAAACTAGTTATAATTCTGTTTGCCAATCAACAGCTGCAATGTGCGAAGATATCTCTGCGTAGTTTGCTTGGCTCCAAATAAGTTGAGGAAGCAGCGGAAAAGTTAGTTGAGTTGTCGAGACCTACAACAGCGAGTTGAGCTTTAATGAAGCAGTGTGCCTGGCCCTTTTAAGTTTCACCAAGAGAATCATCTTCTTCGATAAATATAGCACGATCTGGCTCATTTGTTATAATCAGAACAAGTGTGCTAGTGTGCTTGACATGTCAAGTTCAACAGCGCGTTAAGAATGTGACAAACTAAAGTAGTTGACTTTTATAAAGACACATTTGTATCACCTTAATGCTCATCTCTCACGCAAGCAACTAATGCAATGCCAACGTTAACTTTGAGAGACTTATAAGATGTATGGCTAAAATTTAAATCTCCGCAGAGTGGCATTGTCGAGCAGTTTAAATGAAAAAAAAATTGACATATAGCCAACTTTAGCCATTAGCCATAAGAGTAATATCACTTCGGTGACGCGTCTTGTCTTATATATAGTTGATATAACATAGGTAGAGCAATGCAGTATTATTTTTATTAAATACAAATTTTAATAAAAATAAGTTTAAAAAAAAATTAAACTATTCTATAACTTAATTTATGATCGAGATCTTTTTTAAATGCACAATAGATCAACAAAGTATTTTAAATCAAAAATAAAATAGAATTCTAACAACACTGCAACTAAGAATATAACAACGTCGCACATTGGCATTAAAACAATGCAATCCACCACTCAACTAAACGTTTCAATCAACTTATTTTATAAACAAAGTAAATAAAATTAACTTTGCAAGATTTTTGCATAATAATAATCAAAATAACAAAAAAAAAAGCAACCTAAAAACTTTGTTTTATTTTTAATTAAATTAGTTTGTTTTCATTCGAACTAACCGCCTTATACAGTATTTCATGCACGCTCTTGTTTGGGCCCTTGACGTTATAATGATATAACGATATAATGATTGCGGCTTCTTCAGCCTTTAACCCGTCTCCCTCAAAAAATTGGTATTTAAACACAATTTTTTAAATATTTTTTATATTTAATAAAGATTACTGTATAAGAACAATAACCTACAAGTTAATGTGATTGATATTTATAAGTTATTCCAAAAAATAAGCAAGTGACAATCACATCTAAGGTTTACATTCATATAGAAGACATTAACAAGTGTTTATATGTCAAACTTACTTCATTAGGTTAAAATGAAATATTGACATTTTTAAAAAATACACACTTTTAAACTATACTATCATAGTATCATTATAGATATTAATCGTAACATCATATTGTTATATTAAATAAATTAATATATAAAATTTGATATCTCGCGGCGGTTTTTTAAATCAGCAAAACTATCTTCCACATTGATATCTTTTAGAAAATCATTTTGAATTTGAAAAACTATCAATTACATCTTTCACATTGATATCTTTTAAAAAAAACATTTTGAATTTGAAAAACAGCTAGAGATGACAGGCAATTTTGTCCACTCTTAGACCTGTAACAATTTTTTATCCTTTTTAAAGTTGAAAAGGACTTTTCTCTAGTGCAATTTATAACAGCAGCAGAGAGAAACAATCTTAAAACAACGTCAACATTAAAAATTATGGATTCAAGTTTCTTTGATCGAATAACCAGAAGAAATCAAGATAATTTAGTTTTCTGATTTCACCGGTATTAATTTGGGGTAAGATTGAAGCTCTTGAAATACAGACATTCATTTGGAAAATAGTCTGCGTCATTTGGATAGATTTTTAAAAGTTCTTCGGCGGGCAATATGATCGCAACAGAATCTATATCTGGAAGACGGACAAGACATCCAAAACGCAAGAAAAGTAGAGCCTTGGCTTGACTTTGTCTTTTCAAGCTCAGCTAAAAGTCTATCCATGATGACATTAACTTTAGTAACCATTTATTCTCTCCCAGTTAAGTCTGTTGCCTCAATAGACCCCAATTCGTCATGTTGGCGTTTGCGCACTATTTTTTGCTTCTGGCCAGATGAGTAATTGTCAGTACCCACAAATATCATAGCTTATTTGTCAAATTTATCAAAACTTATTTTAACCTCTTGAACAAAAATAGACAGAGAGCTATACAGTCCATTCACCAATTCCAAATCGATTCACAAATTCCAAATTAATTTCAACGACTTGAAGAATTTTGTTTACTTTGTTGAATTTTTCCATTATTGTGTCCCAGAAGACTATTATGACAGCAATCATAATTAGAAACGTTAAACTGGTTTTCCATTAGGCATTACATACCAAACAACAAAAATTAGTTGATCTATGTGCCTGACGGCTGTGGTTGAATCCACAATAGTATAATAATATTTAGCAGCTTTAAGTTCAATAACTGAAAGAAAGAAATTGCAAATGCAAAAAGATACCATGTAATGTAATGACTCGATCACATAAAACTTTTTTTTTCTGAAATTTCCGATAATTTTTCACCTAAAGTTTTATTTAACTATCATTTTTAAAAATTATTTGAATTGTCTTCAAAATACCAAAAAATTCTTCAAAAAACCAGGTTTTTATCACTGCTTTTCCAACGTTAGAAAAATTTGAATCTTATAGTTATTTTAATGCTAAAAGAAACCTTTTATTACGCAAAATTTTCAAGGTGCAATTAATTTTTAAGTTAATAACAAAATTTACATGCCTAAAATATATGCTTTGTTGTTCCTGGAGTAAATAATGCAACAGTGGAACCTCCATACGAAAATTACTCAAAAAAAAAAAAAGTTTAGGATTTAAAAATAGAAAAAAAAAAGTACGTTGTGACTTTTTTTTAAAATATTATAATTCATAAAAAAAAATTGATAAATGTTATCTCATTTCGGCTGGCCTCTCTAAATGTCCTGGCCCCCCAGTAGCTGACTTGGCCGGACATGTGCAAAGATGTGCCTTACTCCAAATTTAATATAATATCCGCCTTACTCCAAAATTAATCAGTATTCCCACTTTGTTCAAATTCCAACTTTTATGTTTAGAGTTATAATTTATGTAAAAATAAATTTTGATATTTTTTACTTGCCTTCAAATAATTTGGTAACAAATCGGAACAAAAAATGATCTAATTACCATAAAATTGCTATAAATTTTTTATTGAAATGTGAACGATAAAATGTGAACATGTACCATAAATAATTATGTAAAACCTTTTAGATATACCAAGTAATTAAACTTTAGACAAAATAAAACAAAACTCACCATCAGGATAACTTATAACAACTAATCTTTTAATGGAGCCATCCTGGGTCTCACGCCATGGATCTCCAGCGTATATGTTGACGTTTGTAAATGTTTCTGGGTTTAAGCTTTGTTCTTCATATGTAGCTTCGTTTACACTTATTTTATAATAAATATTATTGGCTTTAAGATATTGAGATATAAAAATACTTGTCCACTGGCCAAGTGGAGATGGCTTGAATTTATATTTTATTGGACCTAATTCACTACTTCTTCCAAATGCAACGTATAACAATTTCCAGAAAGTATAAACTTCAAGAATTCGTTGATCGTACACTTTTGAAGTGAAAACAAGAACACTATTACGATCTAAATTTAAAAAATTATCGAGTTTTAAATCGAAAGAAATAAAAAATGTTTCATCTAATGTTGGCAAAATCACAAGCGGATTATTTGTCTTCAGTGTCCCTCTATTGTAATGATACATAGCACCTAATGTAAAGAAAAAACTACATTTTAAAAACTTTAATTTATTAAAGTAGAATAAAAAAAGTTTCGTAATAAAAAAACAACATTTTGTTTCTAAAGTTTCATTATATTTGATTTCAACGAATATTTATTTAAAATACCGTATACCAAACGGAATATATTTAAATTTGGTTAAGCAAGTAACAAAAAATGAAATTGTAAAAAACAATAACTATATTGCTGTTTACGGAATTAAAATAAATATGTAAATAATAATAAACAGTGTATTCAAAAGTTTTATAATGTTATTTTTGTGCTATAAAATTGCAAAACTGAAAAAACAGAATGTGAGAATGCTAAATGTAATAGATTGTTACAAATTTTATTAAATGATATAAAACAATTATTTGTAAATACAAAAGTAAAATATCTACTTCGTGATTATTTAAAATAAGTGTGATTAAACTTAGATATATTATAATATCCAATCTATTACAATCTATCATTTATAATAATACAGATTATTTATGTAATTTATGTAATGTATTGTTTGCAATTTAGACTAGTGAGTTCTGTTTCCCAATCAACAGCTGCAATGTGCAAGGATATCGCTGCGTAGTTTTCTCGGCTCTAAATAATTCGAGATTGCCGCAGCAAAGTAGGCAAATTGTCAAGATCTGCAAGAGCGAGTTGACCGTCAATAAAGCAGTGTGGCTGGCCCATCGGAGTGTTACCAAGAGAATCAATTAAAATTCAATTAATATGGCTTGTAAAGTTCAATTAAAATTGCTTGGTCTGGCTCATTTGTTATGATCAAATCAAGTTTGCTAGTGAGCTCGACGTGTCAATTGCTACGGTACATTGTGAGTGTGACAAGATGAATTAGTTGAAATTCATAATAGCATTTTTGGAACCTGGTATCATCTTGACGTTTATCTAACCTTCTACAATGCCACCGTTAACTTCAATAGGCTCATAAGATGTATGGCTAAAATTGAAATCTCCTTATAGTAGCATTATCGAGCAGTTTATATACTAAAAATATGACATATGGCCAATTAGATTTAGGCAGAGCAGACTGTTCGGCCAAAAGCTCTTGGTGTTTGTCATTATTAAGTAAGCTTGGGTTGTTTGCTCAGTAGCGTAGATGACTAGATGAAGCTGTCGAAGCGTTCGGCAAAATTAATTTTTTTTTTGCTTTAGTTACCCGCAGTAAAGATTTTTGAGTTTAGCGCGGCTGTGCGTCTAGTTTAGTCAGCCAGGGATCTGGGTGGGAATGCAAACACGTAGCACTGATTGAACGTTGATTCAACAATATTGAAGCAACTAATGCAACCTGTCCTTTGATGTATAACATTCCAAAACTGTTTATCTAAAAAGTTAGCAGCGGCGAGTTTGTCGTTTAGCTTCTTGAGCTGGGTGCGTGTAGCGTTGAACTCAGTTTGTTGCTCCGATGTTCTGTTTTTGCGAACGTAGACACCGTTCTATGTCTTGAGGTTGTGGTGTGCGCATGAGTGTTTCAGATGGAGATTAAAGATTCAAATAGTAAAAACTAAATAATGTTCACGTTTGACAACTTTAATTTTTTTTTATTTGTTTAAGACGGTTATCACGTACAACATTAAAGTGATATCATTTTGGATATATATATGATATAACACAGATAGAGCAATGCAGTATTACTTTTATTAAATATAAATTTCAACAAAAATAAATAAAAAAAAACTTAAACTACTTTATAACTTATTTTAAGATTGACATCTTTTTTCAAAGATCAATAGATTAACAATAACAATAGATTAACAATAACAATAATCAAAAATAAAATAGAATTTTAACAACACTGCAACTAACAACATAACACATCCCACATTGGCAACAACACAATTCAATCCACCACTCAACTTAACGTTTCATAAAATGTAAATAAGTAAATAAAATGAATTTTGCAACATTTTTGTATGAAAGGTAACTGTTTTTTGCATTAAATCTGGTGGTTTTATTTAATCAAGATAAATAGTTTTGTTTTATATTGCATTATTTAAGTTAACTTCCTTATATACGATTTAAGTCCGTTTTCTCTTATTTTTTTAAACTCTAAAATGAGTATCGCACAAAGACAGTGCTTAGAAATTATTGACGAAGTAAGAATTATGATAATTAATCTTGTAATTAACGGAGGGAAATGTGTAAAAGAAGTATCAGAACTCGTGCATAGAAGTTAGACTTCAATATAACGCCTGGTCCATCAATAAATATCAACAGGTAATATCAATCCTGGTATTAGATGTGGTTTTCGACAGTCAGGTTGTATTGAGAAAATAAGAAATAAGCTACATGAGTTAAATGGAGATAACAAAAACTATAATCTACAGGAAATAAAGGTAGAATTGGGAATTAATGTCAATGTCTCTACATTAGGGTGATGGTTAAAAAAGTTTAATTAAACATACAAAGTATTAAGACCCATTAGTGAAAGACGCAATACTGCAGAGGTGAAGAAAAAAAGAAAAACATTTATTTCATAGTATTTAAATTTGACATTGCAACAACGTTACAAAATTATCTTTTATCACGATGAAAGTTTGTTCAATCTTCATATAATAAAAGACCATGGATACAGTCTCCGAGGAACAACCCCAAATCAACGTGTATTGTCATCAAGAGGCCGTATAATAACTATTATACGGCCTCTTTACGACAATACGGTATTAGTATTAAATTGTTTAAACATAGTCCACAGTAAAGCAATAATTTTTAAATACACTTAAAAGTATTTTTGGGGAGGAAGAGGAGTTTACCTGGTGATGGATAACGTTAAGTTTGTATCTATGGTGATGGATAACGTTAAGTTTGTATCTATGGTGATGGATAACGTTAAGTTTGTATTTATGGTGATGGATAACGTTAAGTTTGTATCTATGGTGATAGATAACGTTAAGTTTTATCATTCATATTTAAATTTTTATGATAAATATCCTTATGAAATTCGTTATTCACCCCGATACTCACCTTTTTTAAATCCTTGTGAATGGACATTATAAAAAATTACGAATACTTTAAGAACAGGTCCAGTCGGAAATAACGATTTGTTAGAACAATAGAAGAACAGTTGTGAGCATGTTACTGAACACGATCTTTCAAACTTTGTGAGACACTGCGAATCTTTTCTTACGCAATGTGTTATTGGAGATGAAATTAATAGAGAGTAATATCGTATATTTTTTAAATTTGTTTTTTGGAACTTGTATGTTATATATATATATATATATATATATATATATATATATATATATATATATATATATATATATATATATATATATATATATATATATATATATATATATATATATATATATATATATATGTATATGTATATATACATATATATATATATATACATATATATATATATATATATATATATATATATATATATATATATATATATATATATATATATATATATATATATATATATATATATATATATATATATATATATATATATATATATATATATATATACACATATATATACATATGTAAACCAATGGTCTGTCTAGCCATACGATATAAATCGACATGAACTGTTGAACTGCCTTGTTGAAGGCATAAAAATAAAGGCCCGGATCGCTAGTATAGCTCTGGAGTTCCACCTCGCATTGCTGATGTTGGGTTTTTGTGAAACTTGATCAATGGAAAATGTCCTTTTTCTTTAAAAAACACTTGAGTGAGACGAAACAATTCATTATATCTTTTCAGCCTGATGCTTCGAGAATTACTTTTGTTCCGTTATCAAACTGTGTTTTCAGTTGTTCGTACTCCTTCAACAGTTGAGACTCAAATGGATATTTGATGTTTAGCAATTGTGTTTTACTTCCAATTTCTTCATCCATTACCATACCGAGGATTCTATTTATTACATGGTGATAACAACTGATAAACTGAGATTTGTTGATGAGTTTTTCTGTGAACATTCGTAGCAATATTACAACAACAACATTATTTTTTCCAGTGTTAACGCTGGTGGTATCTGCGACAATCATCTGCATTGAATTCCAATAGGTAAAACTTATTGAGGACTTTAGAAATTCCTTAAGAAATAGTTAAAGGACATCCAATTTGATTTCTCTTCTTTCATTTTTAAGAACGACCACTTGATTATCCATTCTCTGTCGATGTGCTTGCCATTAAATTGTAAGGACCAACATTTCATATGCAACTTTTCAATCATTTCTTCCTTCAGCTCGATTGCCTTTTTGATTGTTGACTTTTAAATAGTTAATTGACATGGAGATGGGATGTCAATGCCTTCACAAGCCAATTATTTGGATATGTTTGCAGCTGTGTTTGTTGATACTCTTGTGGAGGTCACCAAGTTGACTGCAATTTTGCTTTTATGATGTTTTCGACTTGGTGTAGGAGTTATCTCATTTCTTCTTCATTGTTTTCATATTCACTGTTGTCAGCCTCAGTCAGAATCACTAAAACCAGGAAAGTAAGAATATGAGGTGGATGACTCATTAGAAAACTTTTGTCTTTTAAATGGATGAATCGTTTCTTTACTGGCCGCCCTAGAGTATCTCACTGTTCCTTTAATTTTTACTTGGAGATTGGACAATCTCTTTTCCTTGAAAGATAACCATGTTTAATTATTATATATATATATATATATATATATATATATATATATATATATATATATATATATATATATATATATATATATATATATATGAAAATAAAAAAGTTGTTGTTATGAGTGATTTTAATATGGACTTATTAAACTATAATGAATCAAAAGTTATCTTTAGTTATCTTGATACATGATGTTCTTATTCTTTTTTTCTTTCTATAATTCAACCTACACGTATAACTGCTACATCAAGACACTCATTGATAACATCTTTTTAAATTTCCAAACTCCTGATTTAATTTTAGGCAATTTTACAATATCGATTTCTGATCATATGCTACAGCTTATCTGCATGTCCTACGACCAAAAACATGAAGAAGGTAATATTCAGGCGAACTTACCGAAATTTTGATAATAAAAAATTTATTCAGGATATCTCTAAGGCAGACTGGCAAATGTGTAATTACAAATAACAATAGTGTCAATGAATCCTTGAAATTGTTTTTAAAACTTTTAATAAAGTTCTTGATCAACATGCATCCTATAAAAAACTAACTGCTAAACAAATTAAACTTAAATCAAAACCTTGGATCACCAATGGAATTCTAAAATCAATATCTATTAAAAATAAACTTTATAAACAGTATGTAAAAGCAAAAAACCAACAGTATGTAAAAGCAAAAAACCATAAAAATAAACTTTATAAACAGTATGTAAGCAAAAAACCATAACATTTAAACTCATATTTTTAATAAATTTAAATGGTACAGAAATAACACTAGCAATTTATTAAAACTTTCTAAAAAATCATATTATATCAACTTTTTTAAAAATAACCTTATCAATGTAAAAAACACATGGAAAGGTACAAAAGAAATTATTAACACCAAACCTTCTTCCTTTTCCAGTAAACGAAGTATCAAATCTTATAAAAAATGTACAAAGTAAAAAAAGTTTAGGTATCAATAGAATTCCTACATTTCTTCTCAAACTTGTTTCTTATATTAACTCGAAGCCTGTGCAATGATGAATAACTTTTTTGAAAATGGATTTTTTCCAAATGTCTTTAAAATAGCTAAAGTTATTCCACTTTATAAAAAAGGCTCTAGAACTGACTAAAATAGCTATCACGCAAATTTGCTTATGTCAAACATTAGTAAAATGATTAAAAGAGCTATGCACAACAGACTTTACAACTTTCTAGATAAATATCAATGTTTTTTAAAACACCAATATGTGTTTCGAAGCAAGCATTCCACAACTCATTCACTTATTAAAATCACTGAGGTTATCAGAAATGCTCTTGAAAATAAGCTTTTTGCTTGTGGTGTGTTTGTTGATCTACAGAAAGCATTTGACACAGTTGATCATTCTATTCTCCTAAGTAAACTGGAATACTATGGTGTTAGAGGAACTTCTCTGCAATGGTTTACATCATATCTTTATGATAGATTTCAATTTGCACCTATTAATGGTATCACGCCATCATTAGAAAAATGCACTACAGGTGTACCTCAATGCTTTGTGTTAAAACAATAACTTTTTCTTGTTTTTATTAACGACCATAATTTATCACTAAAATATACAACTTCTTACCATTTTGCTGATAACATTAACTAGCTTTTAATTAACAAATCATTAAGAAAAATAAACAAATACATTAATCACGATATATCTAATCTAGTTCAACAGTATCGATCTAACAAACTCTTTCTGAATACTAGTAAAACTGAAATTATCATCTTTAAATCAAAACAAACTAAAATCATTAAACACCTAAATTTTAGGCTAAGTGGTCAATAAACCAATCCAGTTATCTGCCTAAAGTATCTTGGAATCAAAATTGACTCAAATTTAACTTTTTTGCATCATCTTAAAGACTTGTCAATAAAACTATGTAGATCAAACGGGAAGTAAGCTAAACTTCGTCACTATGTCAATCTTGAAACTCTTATCAATATATACCATGCCATTTTTGGATCAAATCTTAGATATGTGAGTCAAGTTTGGGGATAAATCCACACCAAAGAAATTCTAAGATTATCCAACTTATAAAACAAAGCATTAAAAATAATATATTTTAAGCATTATCATTCTAACTCCAATCATCTTTATTTTTATCAAAAATACTCAAAATTGATGATCTAGTTCAAATATTAAATTTGTCATTTTGTATTCTATCATAAACAAAAATGCCTATCCAGCACATTTACAAAATTTTTTATCATTCTTCTGTAAAATATGGTCTAAAATCCATAAAATACCAAAGTGTAAAATCATGGAACAGTCTACCTTTACCATTAAAATCAATTGACTCAATTACTAATTTCTAAAAAGTATCTTTATAATTAGTTTTTAGTAAGATATTGTACCTGAAGCCTCTGAAATATGTTGTTATGCTGTTATTATTAATACTCTCTTAATACCTACTAAATTTATTATTAACTTTTTGTTTTCATTTTGTTATTGTTATTGTTAGTATTAATATTAATAATATTCTGCTATCTTTATTAGTAAAATGTTATTTTTACTTATAACTTGAGTATTCTTATTGTTTTTTTTTTAATTTTTTCTTCAATTTATTTACTACTTATACTATATATTTTATTATTACTATTATTGCTATTATGTAATATTGATTTTCTAATATTTTTATTGTTATTGTTATTATTGTTACTAATAATATTTCACTTCATCGTCATTTTATTATTATTGGTAATATTATTTCTATAACTATTATCATTACTATTATTATTGCTATTATTATTATTGTTATTATTACTATTATTGTTATTGCTATTATTGCTATTATTATTATTATTATTATTATCATTATTATTATTATTATTGTTAGTAATATTATTATTACTCAATGCAATTGGATTATACTATTTGTTGCACATCTAAATTTATTATTATTAAATAATTTATTATTAAAAATTTATTATTATTAAATATGCAGAATATTTTTTATTACTAATCATTTAAGCAGTTCATAAATTAAATTGATAAAAGTTTTAAAATCGCCAGATTAAATGCAAAAAACTGATTAAACGAACGAAATTACCAGAGTTGTGCAAAAATCCACTAGATTAAATTAAAAAATCAGTATCGGCAAAAAGAAAACAAAAAAAAAAAACAAAAAACAAATCGGAACATAAAATTATCTAATTACCGATAAATTGCTATACCATTTCCTCTTGAAATGTAGACGATAAAATTTGAACATGTAACATAAATATTTATGTAAAACCTTTTAGATATACCTAGTAATTAAAATTTAGACAAATAAAACGAAACTCACCGTCAGGATAACTTATAACAACTAATCTTTTGATGGAGCCATTCTGGGTCTCACGCCATGGATCTCCAGCGTATACGTTGACGTTTGTAAATGTTTCTGGGCTTAAGTTTTGTAGTTCATACGTAGCTTCGTTTACACTTATTTTAAAATAAATATTATTGGCTTTAAGATATTGAGATATAAAAATACTTGTCCACTGGCCAAGTGGAGATGGCTTGAATTTAAAAATTATTGCATTTAATTCACTCCTTATTCCAAATGCAACGTGCAACAATTTCCTGAAAGTATAAACTTCAAGAATTTGTTGATCGTACACTTCTGAAGTGAAAACAAGAACACTATTATAATCTGAATTTAAAAAACTATCAAGTTTTAAATCGAAAGAATCAAAAAATGTTTCATCTAATGTTGGCAAAATCACAAGCGAATTATTTGTCTTCAGTGTCCCTCCATTGTAATGATACATAGCGCCTAATGTAAAGAAAAAACCGCATTTTAACAACTTTAATTTATTAAAAGAGATTAAAAAAAGTTTCGTAATAAAAAAGAACATTTTGTTTCCCAAGTTTCATTAAAATCAATGAACCATATGGCTTCATTTCAGTTCTCAACGAATATTTATTAAAAGTACCGTATACAAAACGGAGCATTTATAAATTTAGTTAAACAATTAATTAAAAAAGAAATTGTAAAAAACAAAACCTTTGTTACTGTTTATGGAATTAATTTAAATATGTAAATAACAATAAATTGAGTATTCGAAAGTTTTATGTTATTTTTGTATTATAAAATTACAAAACTAAAAAAGCAGAATGAGAGTACTCTAATTCTGCTTTTTTGGTTTTGCAATTTTATAATACAAAAATAGCATGAAACTTTTGAAATAACATAAAACTTTTGTGTTTACAAATAACTGTTTTCCTACTATATCATTTAAAAAAATATGTAACAATGTATACGTTTAGTATTAGACTCGAGTCTAATACTAAACGTAATACATTGTTACATATTTTTTTAAATGATATAGTAGGAAAACAGTTATTTGTAAATACTAAAGTAAAAAATTGTGATTAAAATGAGTGTCATTAAACTTTTCGCTGTGTCTTGCGCAACATGCCCAAACCAGCCAATGTGCGCTCCACTTCGCCTATTCCTTATTCAGTTGATGTATGTACACTCACTGTGCTTATTCCTAAATCAGGCTGATTTACGGATAGGCAATGAGTGTACATACATCCACTGAATTTCAGTGGATGTATGTACACTCACTGCGCCTATCCCTATATCAGTCGATGTATGTAAATAATAAAGATCAATGATAAAATAATAAAGACCAAAACTTTTATTATATAAGAATAATTATAACTTTCATTAAAAAATAGTTGAAAAACATTAAAATAAATTTTTCTCAGTGAAGGACTTGATCACGAATAGATGATGAAACATTGAGATACCGCAATGCTAAACGCACAGCGTTTAGCTGGAAATCTTTTTAAATTTTTGAAACCAATTATATTCGCAGCCGTGACTTACAATAAACTAATCAAACTTTACTACCGTGAATTTAAGATAAAAAACCTAAACAACGGTACCGTTGCACTAGACAAAACGTAAACTTTTACCTAAACCATGCGAAACCACGGATAGTAAAACAACACCAAGAATCACTCTCTAAGAAAAAAAATTCATAGATTAAAATGTTTTTTGTTGTAACTTTTTTGAAAATATTAGTAATAAACTTAGTAGTTAGTAATCATGAGATAAAAATTAGAATAAGGTTATACCATTTTTTTTCTTTCGGTTATCTCTTTCGCAATGTCTGAGCAGATCTGCACAGATTAATGGAACAGCACGTCTTTATAAAGAGAACAAGGTTACCGGAGTGTGACAGAATTCATATTTGTTACAATGGTTTTTTAAATTAAATTTGTAGTCTTTTTCTAATATTTCATTATTTGAAAATATTTTAATTACTCTTTAACGTAAGTTCATAAATGATAAAATCTCATTTTGCAAAGGTTTTTTTAATTTCATTTGTATTAGCTAAACCCTTTCATGTAACCGCGTCATTATTAAAAAGCTAACACCTTTTACTTGTAAAACCGAAATGGATCATTCTAACCCACGTTGCTTTATAAAAAAAGGGACACCTATTTATTTCTGAGTATTTTTTTTTATTTTAGCACCGTTGCGTATATCATGCTGAAAATTTATTATATCTACATTATTTAATTTTATTATACGTAAGTTGAGAGCTAATTTTATATTAAATAGTGTAATTAAATTCTATAAATAGTAAATAAAACTACGCAGCAGGTGTTACAATTAGACGCAATGTTTTTTTTAAAGTTTTTCTTCTAAAGTAATAATATATTATATAACTAAATGTCTAACTTGCGGGATTTTATTGGACAAAAAATTAATCCACTTTTTTTTGTTTATAACATTTGTCCGCCATTTGTAAAAAGGACAAAAGTTGAAGCCGAAATTTTGAATAAAAGTTAAAAATGCAAGTCAAAAGTTGCTAATAAATTAAAGATAATTCAAAAAAATATTTTAATAATTATAAAATACTTATAAAAGGTTTTTTACGAGCCTATGTTTATAAAAAGTATTTTAATTCACAAAAATGCTTCAATAGCGTATGTCGTTTTACTTTTCAGTTCTTAACTTTAATCCCTTTAGTATTGTAATTTCTGCTTACACATTTACGTAAATAGTAATTAAATTTAAAATATATTTACTTCATTTAAGAAAAAGTTAAAAATATTTGTTTACAAATTTAATCCGCCATTTGTAAAAAAAGCTTCACTTTTCTGATCAAAGTTAGACATCTATTTATATCATTGCTTTAAACTAAAATTGTATGAATGCATGTTTCCTAATCGTCCTAATCTTTGCGAACTTTCAAACAATTGATCTAGAACTGCAAAAATAAAATGAAATGACTTTCAATTTATTTCAAAAAATTATATAGCTTAAACTCGGTGTAGTTATGGCGATTTACAAATTAATCGAATTCTTTTATTCAGAATTATCATTGTTTTATCAGCTTATTATGTTCAAACAAGAGCATTAAATGGTATAATTTTTTTTTGCTTTAGGTTTTATTTAATTTTCAAAACCTTTTTACTACCCGTACTTGTGAATCTAAATAACACCATTTTGGAGTTTTAAAATCAATTTCGCTCGTCGGCGTTAACATGAATTTGGTTAAAATCTTTTGAAAAAGTGCCTTAATTTGTTATTGATCCCAGTTCTAATTGGTTCCGACGAATATTAACTATATATTGTTGTCAAAACACAATGTTTCTATCAATTTTCACCAAAGATACTAGAACTCCGTCCAAGTAAGAGCTTATAATTAATAAAAATTGCCAATAAACGATCAGAACAGATCATATTGTTGAACTATAATTTTCATTTCACCTAAAAAACGTATTTAATTTATATATATATATATATATATATATATATATATATATATATATATATATATATATATATATATATATATATATATATATATATATATATATACAAGGCCAGCGCGATAGGGGGTGTGGGGGGTGCGACACCCCCCATCAATGATTTTTAGTCAGCAAATTGGACTCTTTTAGAGTAGTTAGTCAGCAAACGTCGACCCTTTCAATATAGGTTAGTCGGTAATATAGACAGTCGGCAAATGCCGTCAAGGCAGTCGGCAAATTTTGGAAAACGAGGACTTTTTTTTTTTTTTTAGTCGGCAAAATTCTATATTTATTGCTCAGGTATAAAGTTAGTCTAGTAATTTTTTTTACTAGCAAGTTTTAAGCCAATACGGGTAGATATAGCCCCTATAACTAGTTTATTTTAACAACTTACAAGTAGTTTAACAAATACATTTTGAAAATAACAACTAAATCTAAAGAATATTTAAATAGCAAGCAGTTCCAAAAAGCCTCTCACTTTCCAAATTTTTATTTAGAAGAGGAAGAAAGTTAGAAAAAGGACGCCTCACTTAAAAAGAAGTGTTATAAGAACTTATTTTCCAGATTAAAATTGTATTTTTTTAATAAAAATCTTTTGCATGGCATTCTATTTAGTATTTAAAAAAAAAAGAATAAAATATTTCTTAACTTCGATGATATTGTTCTTTAAAAAGGGTTTTTTTTTACAAGTTCAAAAAAATACCTTAAGTTACATTAATAGGGTTGCTTCCACACCTACCGTGAGTTTAGCAAAATTTATTATAAAATGTTAGATTACTAGAAAAGTAGAAATGAATTTAAAATGAATTTTTTGGAGCCATCAATGAAATACTTTATGGATTGATATACATTTTTTCACAACTCTGAAATTTAAATCATTTATAGTAGTTATTTTGATAAACTTTTAATTTTTAAGATAAGCAGTTTTCCATTTTTTTCGTACGTGTTTCACACTTATCATATATATTGCTGACATCATCATATATATTGCTGACATCGTATATTTTTAAATCTGCTTTAGTGTCAGGTTCATAACGCGCTCAGGTTTCAAATGAAAGAACAATACGTTCATATATATCTACAAGTATTTTTTCTTTATTGACTTTTGAAGTTTGCGCATAAAAATGGATTTATTTTGGAACATGTGATTTTATTGTCACAGCACTTGGTACTTACAGTTTTGGTAATAATTGCATTAACGTAAGGTAAGTCTTTTCTCTTAAAAATGTTTGCGGGGTCTCTCTTGAGAGTCTAATTCTTGGCCTTGACCTTAAAACTCTTGACCTGGGTCTTGTAACTTTTGACCTTTAAACCCTTGACCTTTGCCTTGTAACTTTTGGCCTTGGTCTCGGCCTTGTTCTTGTAATATGCGGCTTTGACCTCGGCCTTGCTTCTTTTGGCTTTGTTAATAACTATTGTTACAACCCTCTCTCAAATCTATTAATTTAAAACACGAACCTTGATGAACAATGCCGCTGCGCGCAGGAATAAGTTAAGAAATAAGATAAAAAGGATAGTTAACAAGCATTATATATATATATATATATATATATATATATATATATATATATATATATATATATATATATATATATATATATATATATATATATATATATTATATATATATATATATATATATATATATATATATATATATATATATATATATATATATATATATATATATATATATATATATATATATATATATATATATATATATATATATATATATATATATATATATATATATATATATATATATATATATATATATATATATATATATATATATATATATATATATATATATATATATATATATATATATATATATATATATATATATATATATATATATATATATATGTATACCTTTGTTAATTTTTAGAAAATTTCCTACTTATCTCAAGCTTATTAAGAACCTCCTCTCCCCCTCCCTGTTTATTAGTTTTTGCTTGTTACCAACACAAACCCTATACCAAAAACTAAAAAAAAGATTTGACATTTGCCATATAAATTAGAAACTAGTTCTTTCAGTCACTAAAATTTCAGTGTAAAATTTAAAAATCACAAACCTAATAAACAGGCTTTACAAATCGCCAACCTTATAAACAGGCTTTACAAATCACCAACCTAATAAGCAGGCTTTAAAAATCACCAACCTAATAAATCTCAAATTATTGAAAATGAGAATTTTGTTTTATTTCTCACTAAAGTATAAATCAGAATGTTAAATCCTATTGAAATTATGATAAAGCAGCTATAAAAAATGCGCATTTGAGGGCAAGTCACGCTTGAATTTTAAGTTTTAAGCACTTTTTATAAAAAAAACTTTTATTGTATAAAAAAAACAAATTACCCCTTCATCCAACTTTTTTAACCTTTGTATCCCCCCCCCCCCCAATCCTTGTTTATTATATCTGAAGTAATATTCCTCCCCTTCCTTCCGCACCCCTGTATAAAGGATTCGAGAGTAATTGTTTAATTTTTCTTTTTCTACTTTTGAATCTTCTTGCATTTTTGCCCCTTGATTTTCCTGCCTCGATGTTACAACCGAAAGTAGAAGTTTTATTTTGCGCTGGCACATTTGAACCGGTTGCTTTGGACATATTAAAATGTTCCCAATAGGATTTATAATTTATGTTGCTATTTTTAAACTGAAACATTGATGAAGTTCTATAACCACTACAATATTTTATTTCCATATCAAATATAATTTGCACATTTTCTACAATACAAGTTGGTGATGAATTTTTATTATCTGTTGTACTTTTAAAGTTATGGACTTAGATGGTTCAGATAAGGCTCTTTTCTAAAATTGATACAAATGGAGCTATTCAAGATCACCTTTCCTGCCTAAGTAATTGTCAGCTATTTTAAACTAAACTAAAATACTTGGATCAATACACAATTTAATAAAGAGTTTTTGAGAAGTAGCTGATAAAATTTCACTTAAATGGTTCTCTTCTAGATAAGTAGTTGGAGAGACAACTATAAATGACTTAGATAAATTTGATTAATTTTTGAGTAGTTAACACTATTAGCATCAAATAAAAAATTCAGTATAATAAAACTACTTTTAATACAATTTGCAATAGAAGATAATAGGATCAATTATAAAGAACTTAATTCCTCTTGTATATTTTCCTTGTTTAATTTCTGCCCTTCACGGTCAATGCGCCTTTGTCGGCAAAAATATTTCTACTTTGCTTTCATTGGCCTAAAAACTGCCACATCAAGCGACTGCAAGACTTGTTGCTTGAAAGCAAACCAACAAGAAATATTCTATTTTTAGAGCAAAACTTACTATATTTGATAAAAAAACTTGACGCATGACCATCACGTAAAGCAATAACTGGTAAAGGAATTTCTTTTCTTATCAAAAATGGATCAAAAAC